TGCTGCTGCGTTTGCAGCTTTTTACTTAATAAATATTTTCCAGCACTGATTTTCAACACTTTTGCTTGCTATTTGGTATTACTGAGCATAAAATTCAATTTCTACTGCTTTTTATTGCTTGTGTGTGTGGGCGTATTTGTTGAGGAAAAATCTCCTTTGCTATGCTGACACTATTTTTTCTGATTTTTTGCTTTTTGTTCACTGCTCTGCTTTAGTCACACACACGGCCACGCAGCGCATACACGAACGAACCTTTCTCAACGGCAGCGGATACAAGTCTGAAAGGTGCAGACTTTCTCCAGGCCATCGTAGCTAACGTTGTCATCGTCGCTGTGAGCTTTTTCGGTATGCGCCTGTTAGCCGACCTTTCCGAATCGATACGACAACAGCGCGGTGGAACGCGACGCGACACGATGCTTTTGTCTCTAATTCGCTTTCGCTCAATGTTTTGTTGACTGTTTCATGTTTCGTTGCTTTACACGGTTATTTCATCGCTGTTGTTGTTGTTAAGTTTGTTTTGCGCCGATTTGTTTGCTCTGGTGTTCGCCTGCTTCTGCTTCCAACATTATCCTATGCTTTGTTTTAATCCTTTTCTTTCGGCGCACAAAAGCGCGCTGGTGTCGGTCGTACCGTTATTCACATATATACATACACCCACATCCTTTACACACTTCACTCTCCAACTCGTACGTTCTTGCATACTTCCGTTGTCGCTCTCTCCCAAATCTTCACTTTCCGTTTTTGCTTCCGCTTAACGCTAAACGCGTCCTTTTCGCAGCGCCTTTGTTTATACCGCATTTTGCATCGGCGGCTAATCAGACACATATCCGGCATGCAGTTTTCATTTCCTCCTCATATTAAACTTCACACACTTAACGTGTGCAAATGGCTGAGTGAATTTTCATATAGGTTTGGTGAGAGGTGAGGTGATTAGGAGATTGCCTTAGGAGTTTTTTCCAAGAGACATTTTCTTTAATAAATAAGTTAAAACAAGTATTCATGCAAAGAACATAATTTACTGTAAATATCGGTGTTGTTTTGAAAAAATCTGGATTTCCTTGATCCCTCTGCCGACATCTGGGAATTCCTCCGAAAAAGGTATCAGGCAGTGAGAAAGATTTTTTTGCATAAATAGAGCAACGGTCCAAAAAAATTTATCATGATCGAAGGACTAGTCAAAATTTAAATCTATTTAAAACGAAATTTTTTGGAATTTACTCATCTAGTATATTTAAATAATGAAATTATTATCATAAAACTTATTTCTTCAATGATTACCCGACAAAAATATCTAAGAAGGTTATGTGAAAATTTCAAAACAATCGGTCCACCGATTCGAGAAAAACGAATTTAAAGTTTTTAAAAATTCATAAATTCTCAGTCGCAATCCTACAGTTATAGTAAAATTGGTTACCACTGATTCCTTTGCTCTTATAATTCATCAACTAGATCTCTGTTCCTCGTCCAATAAGGTGTTTGCAGCTCGCAAAACGAGACTTCGATGAAATATTAAGAAGTCGAATAAAATGGAGACAAAGAGTGTACTGATGTTGTTGTTGTTTTAGCAGCAGAATTCTATCGAATTGGCAGTCCTTCCTTGGCCGGAATCCGGTTCCGTTCCGGTTACTGTCAGGGGAAAGGGTCCCGATAATAACCATCGGCCCTACCAACGATTATGAGATGTATGAGTATTAGAAGTCACATAATTCACAGGAAGTCAGAGTTGGTACCCACAATTCAAGTAGAAGAACGCTATTTATAACAAAATTGTCGTCATCTCTGATTTAATCATTTTTGATTGGAACGAACCAGGTTTTATAAAGCTGCCAAAGAATGCCACTGTTGCCCTTAGCCAACCTACATTTTTTAGCCAATTGCCAATGAAAATGTAGGTTTCAAGTTTAATCCACGTAAGAACCCTTGCTATTGCTTTCCTGGCGCTGAGAAAATCCATTTGTAGTAGACCTGCGATAGTACACATTTTTTTCAACAGACGTTCGCAAATGATCCACACAAGTTAGTTCACCAAAAGTCAAATTAAAAATTAAAATTAGTTGATAAAATTCATTGCATTTAAAAATATACCATTCTTTTTCAAATTCTTAAAATTAAGCATTCCAACCTACGCCACTGTATTCTTTCTGCCGGCAGTAAATTCAACAATGCCTAAAAAACAGCTGATGACACCGAACAGTGGAAATAATTCATAAACAAAACAAAGACTGTTGATTGTCTTTGCTGTCAAATTTGTTTTTTTTATTTTTTCTTCGAACTTAGAACTGATAGCAATTTTTTACAATCATCTAGTAACTATTATATCGCAAGTTATTTCTTAAATAAAATGACCGCTGTGCTAGGCGCCGGCATGAGTGGCCTATCGGCTGCTTATTATTTACTACAGAAATTTGGGTATCCTGCAACGGTTTATGAGGCGTCACATCGCGTCGGTGGTTGGATACGCACCGAAAGGCATAAAGATAAAGGTTTCATATTCGAAATGGGTCCACGTACCATTCGTCCGAAGGGTATTCAAGGCGCTAATACATTGCAATTAATAGAAGAATTGAAGTTGCCGGTCGATCCGATTAAATCGTGGCAACCGGCAGCTAAAAATCGTTTGATATATGCTAAAGGTCAATTGTGCATGCTGCCGAATAGCTTAAGTGGAATATTCAAAACATTACCGCCATTCTCAAAACCACTAATTAGCCAAATTAAACAGGACTTAATAGCCGGTCAAAAGAAATTGAAGCTCGCTGATGAATCTATTTATGATTTTGTTGAAAGGCGCTTCGGCGCTGAATTGGCTAATTATGCGATAAGTCCTTTAATATGTGGAATTTGTGCTGGTGACGCAAAAGAAATCAGTGTGCGTTTTCTAATGAATGACTTGTTCGAAAAAGAACAAAAATGGGGCGGCATCATAAAAGGTGTGGTATATGAAAAACTATTTGGAAATAATAATAAGGCCGCTCCCGCGGGACTATTTGGAGATGCCATGCCAAAACTATATGAAAGATCGCAGAAGGAGAAATGGAGTATGTATAGAGTACCGGATGGCTTGGATACACTACCGCAAACATTACGTAACTACTTACAAGAAAAGGATGTTGATATTCAACTAACATCGGAATGCCGGGAAATCATATTCACACGTGACGGTGTTCGAATGACCGTCAAAGGTCAAGAGGTTGAACCAAATCATATTATTTCATCAATTCCAACACACAAGTTGGCAACCTGTGTAAAAAATCAACATCCATCTTTGTCAGCCTTACTAATGGCTATAGAGTATGTTGATGTGGCCGTTGTCAACTTACAATATAATATTAAGGATTTACTTAAGATGAAAGCTTTTGGCTTTTTAGTGCCACCCATTGAGCGCATTCCCATACTAGGCGTTATATTTGACAGTTGTTGTTTCGATATGGAAGGCAATACAATTCTTACGGTTATGATGGGTGGACGTTGGTTTGAGCAGAATTTCGGCAAGGATCCAACACCGAAAAAGCTACTGGACACAGCATTGCAATATTTGGATGTGGTAATGGGTATAGCAGAGGAACCACGTTTGACACGTGTGCACGTATTGAGGAAATGTATACCGCAATATACTGTGGGACATACGCAGCGAGTATCCGATATACGACGGTACATTAAACACTATAAACTGCCGTTGACATTATGTGGTGCAGCTTACGATGGAGTTGGTATAAATGATGTTATACTATCAGCACGAACTCAGGTGGAATCCTTGCGGCCTTTTGATGATTAAATTGTTTAAAATTAATGGGTAGGGTAGTGTGTTCGATACCGGCAATGCAGTTATAGGCTGTAACATTATATTGTTATGCGATTTTCTATTTATTTATATTGAAGTTCTAATTGTTTAAAAACAAAAAAGATTTTAACAGTGTAAAGCAGCTGCGTTTAATCTTATTTGCCAAAGCCACCAAGACAATTTGGAGTAGGTTCGACTGTGTAATTAGGATCCCACTGTTTGGGAGATTTAGCTTCTATAGATAGCGCATGAACAAAATTACCAGCCAATTTCTCTTGTACAATTGAATTCACCAAACGGTGACGCTGCAATTAATTATAAGCGAGTTATACAAGAAAAGTTTAATAAAAAAAAAAATCGGACCGATACCTTTATTAAAGAGAGCTCCTCAAATTTATCAGATACTACCAACACTTTGAAATGTGTTTCGGAACCTTTCGGTACGTTGTGCATATAGGACTCGTTAATCACTTCCAAGTGCAATGGTGATAAATGCTCCGTAAGTGCGACTCGTATGGCTGACTCAACGGGCGCAGTTTGAGGTGTGGCTGACATTCTGTGCAATTGGGCGGAGCGCAACGTTACTAAAAGAATGCATTAGCCAATATTTATATAGAAGTTTGATATTTATAAATTAACTTACATGTAGCGCTGCGAAATAAGTTCATAACTGTTTGTATTAATGCGTATTCTAATAACAATAACATCAATCAGCTGTTTTTATTTTCTTCATTAATACCCAAATCATGCTGCCACCTAAGAATTTTTGATAAAAAAAAATTAACCTCTTTCACAACTCTAAACATAAAATAATGAATATATGCATATAATGTTTATATTTCAAATAAAAATTAATTAATAATAGTATGTCTATAAATAAGTATCGACATATTGCAAACAATCAAGGAACTAAGTCTCGCTAATCTCCAGCAGATGGCGCCTTCGTTACTAACTTATCTCAGGTGGCAGCATCATTTTCACCTGAGATCTTGTCAATTTGACAATTTTTCTTTAATATTCTCTTTAAACTCGTTCGTATTGTGCTAATTTTTGGAAATATTTCTCTGTTTTCCGTATTTTGTACCAGCAAAATTATAGATTTGATAGTAAGTGCAACAGGTAAATGGAGTTAGTTAAAATCTGTCGATTTAAATGAAGAATGTGTTAAGAAAAATTCAACGATAGTCTTCTTTAGAGACAACGGAAGTGTAAAAATGTTGATTTTTGCCAAATTAGGTTGTTAATCGCGAAGATCACAAATCAGCTCTTACCAGCTTTGCTAAACCACAAGTCGGTCAATACGAAGGCGAATGAAAAACAGTTGGCTAATAAACGTGCTGTGTGTTAGTTGAATTGTGCCAAGCGTCTAGATCAAACAAGTGCAATTTTTTTTTTTTTAACAAGCTGCCTTCATTTCAATTAAGTGAACGCCCATAATGCCGCCTGTGCAGTAAGAAATTTATATATAATCGTATATAAGACATGCATATTTATATATAACGACAACCTTAATATCACAAATAACAAGTTAACGTTTTCAATTGGAGCACAAACATATGTCAAGCGCCTTATATCGTTGATTGTCTACATTCCAATAGGTTTCATTCATTTGTTTCTTATGAATGACACCCACGGTACTTAAGTCGTACGGTTTCGTTAAGATATGAACTATGCTATTGACTGATCTTTAACATCGAGGACGTATAACTATATACATATTTGCGATGTTCAAAAATCATAGTAGTAAAATCACTTTATGTTGAAGCGATCTTGAATTATATATCATGAAAAATATGTATAAAGTTTATTTAAATCTTCTGCCTTACGGGTGGTTTGCTCATCAATGACGTCATCCACCAACACAATTCTATTTATAGTGAGATAATTTAATGTTTTTGTTTTACGAACGCAGCGCCACAGCTTTGTGTAGCTCAGACGCTGTTTTGTTGATCGTTGCACAATTTATTATAAAATATAAGCATATTTTTCATCACACAACTATATACATATCTACGTTTGTAGTATGTTAATGTAATTTTTAATGTAGCGCATTACAATAACGTAACACTAGAACATAACAAGAAAGCTTACATAGTCACTTTAATATACGTGGGTTTTTATACCCTGAACAGATAAGGGTAGTCCTTTAGCCTTATCCGTTTGTCTATTTTTGCAAAACTTTTTTACTTGACAATACATATACGTCTCTATATAATATATAGTTGCCATGGAAACTGAACTGATTTATTTAACAAGATATCTTCGCAATTGGATTACTGCTCAAGTTAGCGGTATAATCTCCGAACAAATTGTTCCGATCGGTCCACTATATATTATACAGTCTAATCGATTATAATTAAACCTTTGCAGGAGATGGTGGAGGGTATTATAGCTTCTGTATCGAACGAAATTAACGTTTTTTTTTTTTTTTGATAGTTTTGTTTGAGTTTTAAAATCACTCATAGCACTAAACCAAATAAAATACTATGATTTTAAATTTTAGATATTGGAATATAAAATCGTTTGTGTTTTCTTTTTGTCAAGCATTCGAAAAATTGTATATGTATATAAATTCATTTTTGAATATCTGTTTTTGTAAATTTTATTATTATTTTAATAAAGCCAAACATGACACGATCTAATTCTGTACAATCCAACATACACGTACATATATATATGCAATATAAACATACATTTACTCTTGTGCTCGATCTAAAATGAATTTGTGGTCTGTTACAGAAAAAATATGTTTCAGTAGGTATTCATTGAACATCTGCCAATTTATGAGTAATCTCCCCACAAGCAGAAGCCTCACTATGAGTATTCATATACACGCAGAACACAGAAAGCGTCTTTCTGACTTCTGTGCATGCACAAAACATATCTCTACATACATATGTAGGCATTATATGCCCTTTCAGAGCTTACGTATGGCAATAAATTATGTTGTAGCTTATGCTACGATTAAATACTTCAATTATATATCTTTCACGCTTGCCCCAATCGCTGCCACAACACACCGATATCGTGTGAGTTATATTTGCTACTTGCAATATGCTTTACGGTCACGCCATTACGTGCAGCACACGTTCATTTCCATTATTCTAGCACACCTTCAGGTTGCCCTGATTTACTTACCACACATTTAGTGGGCGAACAACTTTCAGTCTCAAAAGTGAAATCAGAACATTTTCATCAATTAATAAAAATTATTAAAATCATCTATTTAGTTGATTGGTGTTGATGGTGGTGATGCAATCATTTTAGATGTCTGTGAATTAAACTCGATTTTTTATCAAACACTGTGTAGTATTCGATAAATTACGGTGTACGTGGAAAAGTTCATAGTACAAATATATTTGAGTGCGCTGGAAAAGATATCCATATAATATATTATCTGTTACAACAAAACATCTAAATAGAAATAATTATATATGTGAGTAGTTGTACATATCATTATCAAGTATATAAAATAAAAAATGGCTTAATATATGTATGTATGCATAATCAGAAACGGATCCTAAAATGTTTAGAAAATGTTTTATGCTGACATCAACAACAACATCCGCGAAACAACTTGTGAAAGTACTGAAAGCTGCCGCGATTTAGTGAAAGTGTTTAGAATAATTGAATAACAAGCAAACATTTTGGATCAGATATTAATTTACGATTTTAATTGTTTTTTCATTTTGTTCAAAAACATATTTACTGTGCCCACTCTACTATTGGTTACAAGCCATGAAGGCATATCCAGCTTATCAGTTTTTTACAGCTTTATTTGCATACATGTGTATATACATATATGAGAATGCACGCAAAAATAATGTATGCCTTCAAAGCAGAAATAAATGTACGCTCAAGTTTAAGGTCAAAAAAGAGGAAGAAAGGAAACGATAACTTCGGTTATAATACCCTTTACTTGGGCATCTCTTGGGGAGAAAGGAACGTGTACAAAATTTCAGACTGATAGTCTCAGCTCATCATGCTGATGATATATCCACATATCTATTTAATATGGAGTTTTACGAACTTCGTGACAATCTTAATATACCCTGTTCAGGGTATAAATATAAGAATTTTATGTGCGACGTAATGAATCATGAATCATTGAACGCGAAAAGAACGACGAATCACATTTTTGATAAAAAAAAAGAGTTTCCATGACTTGAAATCGCTTACTGAGCCATACACTAGCTTAGTGTAAATTGAACATTGAAAGTGTACATATTAAAAATTGAAATAACTCAAGATGTCATCAAAAATGAAAATGTATTTCGAATGCAAATCTATTTCACTTAAATATTCCCATAATAATAATATACTTTTTTCATTCTCTCTTCTTTCAGAGTACAAGCAGCTGACATGTCGCTAGCTGCTATGCATTGTGCCCGCTGTGCGGACGGCTTCGAACCCAACGAGAAGATCGTCAACTCCAACGGTGAACTCTGGCATACACAATGTTTCGTGTAAGTTGCGAGATTTGCAAGTAAATTTATAAAAATATAAGATATAAACATTTCTAAAATAACTTTTCAGGTGTGCGCAATGCTTTCGCCCCTTCGAGGATGGCATCTTCTATGAATTCGAAGGACGCAAGTACTGTGAGCGTGATTTCCATGTACTCTTCGCACCGTGTTGCAATAAGTGCGGTGAATTCGTGATCGGGCGTGTTATCAAGGCGATGGGCGCTAGCTGGCATCCACAGTGCTTCCGTTGTCAAATGTGTGCCAAAGAGCTGGCCGATACCGGTTTCATACGCAATCAAAATCGTGCCTTATGCCATGAGTGCAATGCCAAAGTGAAGGCCGAGATAACGGGTCGTTATATGTGTCATAAGTGCCAGTAAGTTAAATGCAAACGCAGCCGCAAGCAATTGCATGCATTTTTGACGCATACATTTCTGTTGTGCCATTATATTTTTTGTTTTTATCAAACTGGTTTTTATTTGCAACTTATATGTATATATTTTCCTTTCAGTGGCGTCATTGACGATGCACCGTTGCGTTTCCGTGGCGAAGTCTACCATGGTTATCACTTTAATTGTACGTCGTGTGGCGTGGAATTGGACTCAACCGCGCGTGAAGTCAAGAGTCGACCCGGCTTAACGGCCAATGATATGGTAAAATTCCATAAATTGAACTGCAATATAAATTTAAATGTGTTAATTTGTTTCGAATTTTCATATATATTTTTAGAACGAATTATACTGCTTGCGCTGCCACGACAAGATGGGCATACCGATTTGCGGCGCTTGTCGTCGTCCGATCGAGGAGCGCGTGGTCACCGCTTTGGGCAAACATTGGCACGTCGAGGTGAGTTTGAAGACGCATTATTTTATATATGAAAACTGACTTTTTTATAATTTTTATTTACAGCACTTCGTATGCGCCAAATGTGAGAAGCCTTTCTTGGGCCATCGTCACTACGAGAAGCGTGGTTTAGCATACTGCGAAACACATTATCACCAATTGTTTGGCAATTTGTGCTTCGTTTGCAATCAAGTCATAGCTGGTGATGGTAAGTTTTATAATTTCTTTTGTTTTAACACAAAAACTTTTAATCACAATGTGTTTTTTTCACAGTGTTCACAGCGTTGAATAAGGCCTGGTGTGTGCACCATTTCGCTTGCTCCATATGCGATATGAAAATGACGCAGAAATCGAAATTCTATGAATATGATGAGAAGCCAGTTTGCAAGAAATGCTACGAACGTTTCCCCAACGAATTGAGGCAACGTTTGCGTAAAGCACATGAAATGTCTATGAAGAAGAACTTCTAAATGTCTGCGTGAAAACTGCTTATAACAATTAGAACAATACGTTGTGAATGCAACGTTCTAATACGCAATGATTACTATATGTAAAGTGAGGCCAAAAAAGTCATAAAGCAAAGCATAAATGATAATTAAAATTTTGAAGACTAACTAATCCGTTGGCCAGCCTTGGAAAATGCATTAACTAAGTGCCTGTAAACGATATTTTTTTGTATTTATAATACGGAACACTGTTATATTGCCATCATCGCCACTGTCAGAATTCAAAACACAAGCACAATATACATATATACATACATATTTATGTGTGCCTAGTAAAAGCAACAACTAATAGTCAATATTATTAACATGTACAGTAACTTTTTTTATTCAGAAGGCGGCAGTTTGCGCGTGCCGCTATATAGTTTGCATCGCGTGTTTAAAGCATACAGTTTACAAACAGCCTCCATAACAATTTTATTATATAAGTGTTTTGTAAATGCCAACATATCCGAATAAAATTGCATGTCTAATTATAAGGCGAAAATTTACTACTGCCAACCTCTCGACATCACTTTTAGTCTACATACAATTATAATATTCTGTGTTGTTTATATGTGTCAACGCTGTTGTGCCTTTTACTCAGCCTCCAACTTGAATAAGTAATTTTTATGAAGTTTAGTTTTATGGTTTTTTTTTTTTTTTTGTTTTGTGACATCGTAATATTTTCGACCCCTAGAGTGTCTGTTGTAATTTATGTAATAAATTTAAACTCTTTACTGCAGCTAAAATAATATTAAAAGTAGTGTACGCGATATTTGCTATAATATTTGTAAAGCATTTCGTACATTGATTTAACAATCATTACAATTAATTAGTATTTTGTGTTTATGTAATTATTTTTTATTTAAAATATCGTATCGTGTAATAATGTGTGTAATTGTTTATTTAAATGTATTTGCTAAAGCAAACCGATTTATATGTTGGAAATAATGTAATAGAAACAAGAATACAGCTGATTATAACAATGACTGCAGAATGTTTTATTTATTGTGTTATTTTATATTAAATATATTTCTATTAAAACTACTGGTAAATAAGAGTCGTAAAAGTAAGTTTTAAAAATATTTTCCCTGCTTTACATTAGCTGTTATCAACAGTGTTGCAAATTATTTGGTTAAAAATTTTTGGTTAAAAATTTTTGGATAAGAAATTAGATTTTAAATTTTTAACGGGTTTAATTGACAGTACAGTACCAACATCTTGCATGGAACATCCCAAAATTTGGGACTAAAAATTATTTTTTTTTTAATTTGTAATTATGATTTTGGGATTAAAAATTAATGTTTACTGAAAATTTAAATTTATTTAAAAACAAATTATTTTTATTAAACAAAAATTAAAAATTTAAAGTGGAATAAAAAAAAAAGTAAAATCTCATTTTCATTTGCTAGAATAACAAAAATAGTAGATCCCGATGTAGGCAAATGCGAAAAAGCAAAATTGTAAACAGCTTATTTTTGTTTTTTTTTTTTTGTTTTTTAATTACATACATAATAATAAGCTTGGAAAATTTAAATTTTTTTTTCAATAATTTTGTTTTTTAGTATATTATTGCAACCCTCATCAACACACATATGTACACAAGTACTTGGTTGAACAATCCGCTAAATATTTGCTTTTTAAATTGCTTTTTAACATCTAATTTAATGGAAGTAATACATATGTGTAAGCAAATGTAATAACAATGTACGCTCATTAAAAGCTTAATAATAAACATCACAAACTGAAGTAGGCAGACTCGATTGTGGTTATTGCAATTGTTAAATAAATTACGCTTAATTATAACATATTTCATATAAAATACAACAGCAGCAAACATTTAGACGAATATCAACATAAAATAGCATCAAATGTACACATACATAGATATAATATGTACATATCTAGCTAAACGTAACCAAGAATTCCAACTTGCAACTGTCTATAAACTGTTTGGACACACAAGGCTTACTTTTAATATTTTGTTCAATATTTTTATTTCATGCATGCTTATACTGTCAATTTCTGCAGTAAATCCTCCAATAATCCTACATCTCGTACCGCAATTAAACCATCTTTATTACATTTAGGATTCTCCACTTCTTCACTAACTTCCCGATAGCAAAGTGGTATTGGCTTGCACTCACTGATACTTCCTCGATAACTGTAAATGTCACCACCTAAAGAACGTAATATAGCTTGTGGCGCACAGGTATCCCATTTGAATGTGGAACCTTTGCTCAACAAATACAAATCGACCTCCCAGGTGATAACTTTTAGCGCTTTATGACCTGCACCAGCAGCAAATGCAAATTCATAACCTAGCTCCATAATGCGTTGGAGAATATCACCATTTTCCGAACTAGAGAATATGCCCAGTCTATTATCACGCGCCGGACGCTCAAATTGACAATTATTTGCTTGTAAATCCGGCAAGCATACGCCCCAAAATATCAACGAACGATATAGGTTCTCATCCAACTTATTGTGGAAGGGCTGTGAGACAACACCAATCACTGGTCTGCCATTCGTGCGATCGTAGACGCCCACCAGCACGGTTACACAGTCTAAGCCAGTTGAAGTAATGCCTGGAAAGTCGGTAAAAATGCTATCGCCAGATATATACTCAGCGGTGCCATCTGTGTATTAAATGTATTTTGTTATGCAAATTAATTTTTTATAGTAAACATATGCAAAACTTGCCGATTGGATCGATCCATATGCCCAAATTGCCATAGTCTAAATCCTCTGGTAATGTTGGTATTTCGCCCAAAAGTGCTTCTTCGTATATAACCTCGCGATGAACTTCATTGGCAAGCACTTCCGCCGCTTCAACTACAAGCAAAATAATAAATAGTTTGGTAAACTAATGTTAACAAAAAAGCAATATACCGTTTAGTATCGCCCCTAGACATTGCGCTGTTTCCTCAGCAGTTTCACTAACTGCAATAGTCACCGATTCGCCATCTGCATTGGTAAAATTTGGTGACTCTTCGCCATTAATAGCTTCGCGCATCGCAGGAAACTTGTGTAATGCATAAGTACACACAATTGTATAACATTTTAAATATGCAGATAATATTATGGACTTACCAACTCACCAATATCATGTTTGATAGTCTCTTGTATCAGAACATCTGCAAGTGTTTTGAAATCATGCTCGAAGCGCGCGTTCGCTTCCGGTCCGGTCTTTTCCTGCACTAATAACTTTAACAACGTCTCATTGGAGCGACACACACGCGCTATATTAGCGGCCTTTTCCGACGCATTGATGAGTTGCTGCACAAGATTTGGCTCCATATTTTTGATAATATTGGTTGTGGAATATGTATGGCAGTGTTTGTCGGATGAAAAGTTTGTTTTTTCTAAAATTTTATAGTTGTCTTAATTTAATTAGTGTTATAATATGCAGACGAAATTGTATAGATGTTGCTACTATCTCAGTCAAACACTTTTTTAATAATGCGAGAATTCGTAAGCGAATTTTTGTATGGCCTCTTCTTTTTCTTATTTTTTGTTTATAAAATATATATATTCACATTATCATGGATGTGTATAAAGATATACGGCACAGTGTTTCCTTTAATATAGCCCTGATTGCGTTCAATTATTGTACAAGACGTGCCTAATAAACTATTGCCTATTTTTAGGCAAGCTAACTAGTGTTATAAAATGCTCAAAGTATCACTCAATGTTAAAAAATATAGTTGCCAGTGTGATATTGAATTTTTCAATTTGCTGCAAATTAATTACATTTGCAGGTAGTCTAATATGCACACACCAACAAAAAAGTTATTCCAACTTTAAGTTACTACTAATAAATTTACACGAAATTTATTTCATATTGCCGTATACGCTTATTTGTTTTGTCTCTAATATTTAATTTTCTTTTATCCATATGTACAAAAGCATAGTGCTTTTAGTACATAAACATTATACCAAATGTTGTATAAAAATTATTTAACTTTACGTCAATCTGGCAATACTACATTGGGAAGTGTCTGATGGTTTTTACCCTACCTTTTATCAATTTTCTATTTACTTTTTGCTGTTGCGTTATCAATATATTTTCCTCGGTGTTTCTGTTTTTATACATACCTCCAAAAACCATGGAATTTGTATAATCAGCCCCCATTGTATAAATATAACAGAGAAAAAACAATGCAGCAACGCGCAAACGCCTCTTATCGCTCGTATTTATACAAGTCTAGGTGAAATTGTATGTGTTGGCGCTCTCGTGGCAAACACAGCGGTTGGGGCTATTATACAGTATATTAGAATTGGAGCTTCTGACTCCAGTTCTCATTTTGCTTTCGTCTACTGACAACGTCGCGTAAATCGTGTTCCTATTGCGTCGTTATTTGTCGGTAACGTCGGTGCAGTTGATTTTCTTTTGTCCAGTCGGTTGTCAGACGCACATCACATTCACTTTGCATCTTAATTTAAATATGTTTTTATGTAAAATTTATATGTATATTGCTTGAATATACATTTGTATACACAGTTGCTTAATCAAAAATTCCGCTACGTAAATGCAAGTAAATACATAACATCCGCTAAGCAGTGATATTAAGTTAATATGTGCTATGGGAAGTCACCGCCCACACAAATTATTTTCAATAGTACACCCACCACGCAAAGGCTAATCAATTTTATTGTGCAGTTTTAAAATCTATTTTTCATTGTGTGATGTTACGAATTTTCCCGTGATTTAATTTGAAACGTGACATTTGTATAGAATTTGTATCTGAAGCGTGATTTCAAATAATATTGAATAATTTAGATGTAAATTTACTTGTAAATTAACACTAAAAAATCGGTTGTGTCAACATTGCCTTCACATTGAAACGGATTTGCTGTTTGCGAGCGTGCCGAGGACGTATGAGCGACAGCGGAAGTGCAGGCTCTTTCAAGTGGGCATACGTGTGTCCGTGCGTCTAAGCGTCTCGAGTGTTTGCTCCACACACATTTTGTTTGGTGAACACACACTTGCAATCGACCCACCACCATAACCACCAATATTAAACAAACAACTTACTATACTGGCGTGGGAGTGCAATATCCCCCTAATAAATATTTGCATTTAAATCAAACTGAATTTTACTGCACGCACTGGAAAAAAAGCTAAAACATGGATTTGAAGTTCGTCAATGTCATTATATTGGGCTTCGGCTTTATGTTCGTATTCACGGCCTTCCAAACTATGGGTAACATTGAGGTAAGCATGTGTCGCAGTTGCTTCAAATAGGTTTTCATGCACAGATGTGCGCTCGTATACTTGTACTACATACAAAGATATGTACGTAACCATATCCTTGACTTTAATTGCGCGCATCCTTGGCATAAACGAAGGACGATGAATGTTGTCTGTTGTTGGCCATTGGTGCATACATATGGTTGCATGATGTGTGGGTGTTGTTACTGTCGAAGAAAATATAATGTAAAATCAACAAAAAAAAAATTTGAAACACTTGTTTAAACATACTATATATATATTTATTTATCTATCTAGGTATTGTATCTTTAAACGTAGTTTACAGAAGTTGGTATGCCATAACACGAAGGTCAAGGGGTCGATATAGAAATTACTAACCTTTCTGACATCTTTTTTTACAATGCCAAAACCGTCTTAACGTTTTCCGCCTCGCAAAGTCCATTAGTCATTAGTGGGCAGCATAAAATTATGCTACATACAGTTAGAACAAAAAATAAACAACCAAAGTGAATTGCGTGATTATGCACGCACGAGCAAACATTTGCGCCTACATGTATCTATGTATATAATGTGTCTATATATAACCTTTTTATTTAGAGGTACATATTTACAATTCCTGTTCATAAATGTAGTTACTCATAGCAAAAGGAGCGCCATGAACCCGTATTTTTATAATAGGATATTTGCTTGCGTAAATCGAAATGTGTGCGTGTGCATTTGAGTGGGTGGTTAGCAAGCAAGGCCAGCCTTGTCTGCCCATTTTTTGTCTGCTACAACAAATCCTTAGAAGTACAAGTGTACCATTATTTATTTATTTTATTGATGTTGTTCCTTCTTGATTCTGTGACCGAGTGAAAGTTGCATGTATTTACATATGCATGTACATAGTGGTAATTTCAATACAGTAATTGAATTCTAGACCTTTAATTTATTATTCTTGATTGAGTGGTTGTAGTCCGCAAATAAATTTCATATAAAATTAGCAAATAAGAACTTGAAAGTACTCTGAAATAAGAATGGGTTGCGTTGTGGGTTATATCCATATGTTAAATTTGAATATTTTTTTTTAATTTACATAGTTAAATTAAATTGTTTGAGATGTATGTATCATATCTACATACATACATTTCCAAATAAGGTGACATTTGAATTTAAACTGCGCGCGTCGAAGAATTTGGAGAATTATTATCTTTTTTTTTTAGGGTGGTAGTACTGTCAGTCACATTTATGTCAAAATATTCATTAGTCGATGTAGAAATTTGTTGAGCAAAGAATTTGCATAAAATGATCATTTCGCCAAAAACTCGATCCATATCGTTCCGCAACTACTGTATTCACCTGATCTGGCGCCGAGCGACTTCTGGCTGTTCACCAAGCTCAAAAGACCGCCCCGGGGACACCGTTTTTATATGAAGGCCATCCCGGAAAGTGACTACAACCAGTGTTTCGAAGATTGGAAAATCCGTTGGCATAATATACAACATGTAGTGGGGATTACTTTGAAGGGGATGCAATTGATTTGGAAGAATAAATAAAGAATTTTCAAAATAAATACAATGTCACCTTATTTTTTGGGCACAGGTACATATATATAAATTCGTAAAATTATTATAGTCATTTATATAAAAAGTTGGAACAATTGCGATTATATTGGCGCCGCGAGTGTACGGGCGTATAGAGGATGTCCTCAGGATTAAAAAATKCCACTTTATATAATTTATTTATTTATTTAACAAATTAACCCCAATCGGCAATATACTACAGTTACTTTTATAAGTAAAAGAAAAAAGAGAAAAAGTATAATAATAAGGGCAATTGTATTACAGTGATCAAATTAATGGTATGGAATGAGTTTGCCCTTTATATTATGGATGAATGAACTGAGGGAGCCTCCATAGAAATCGATGTTCTGGTGAAGTGAATTTACATGGTTACCAATCCTGTTGTGAGGTCCATGGAAGACGTAGTTTTTCTATGTCTTTGTTGTTTTAAGTTTCCGTGATTGTCTCAGCGAGAATGCCGTAGGAGCAAACTCAAAACTACCAAGAATCTCTGGGGCATCAATTAGGTTGTTAGCAAACAAAATGTTTCAAGTTTCGAGTGATCTCCGACTAAAGAAAGATCCTCCACTGCCGTGGTGATCATGTTGTTGTTGTTGTAGCAGTAGAATTCTGCCGAGTTGTCCTTGGCCGGATAAAAATCCGGGTCCGTTCCGGTTACGTAGACCCGACTGGCGTGGGAACGGAGGAAAACAACGTCTTTATTAGCAATTATTGTCCTTGCAATGACAAGTTGAATTTAACTAAGATTTTTGGTCGTGTTTGCTGGCAAGTAATACACTAAATTGGAAGACGTTTCTTGACGAACAGTTTGACGCATATTACAAAGCTCAAATAATATTCTATGTTTACAGTGTGGACCGGCGCAAGAAATTCATAGCGTGCCATAGCATGATAACTTCACCTTACTTTTTTATCACAGTGAAGTCTATTATGTATGTATGTATGTATGTACATATTCATTTCATAATTGATGAAGATGTCACACAATCCACACCTACATTTCCCTTATTTCCTAGTGCACTCATTACTACCTTATCATTAATATTTATTTTTTCCTTCACCTAAGATTGACCTAAATAGTAACTAATTATGCCATCGAATAGTATTTTGTGTTTCATTATTGCAGTTTTAATACATTTTTAAGTTTCCCAGTCACGCGAGGTGTGTTGTTATTGAAAAAAAAGTTTTTAGAACTATTTTTGGTTTCAAAATACCAAGCGTCTCATCTAGTATGTGGGGTGATTGAAAAATTCAAGTCAAAATTATTAAGAATAAAGATATACAAATATGTACGGCATAGATAAGTACAGCCTTAACAGGCTATATTAAGTATACCACGAAGTTTGTAGCAAACATAGGGAAACGCCAGAACCCTAGTTCCTACTTAAGAATAGTATTATAGCTGTGGTAAAACATAAGTTGAACACTTTTTTCTGTTGCTTCGGTGGTCTATTATGTCAACGGTATTTGAACATTTCTGTAGTTTGTATGCAAGTGGTCCATATATGCACCACCTAAGTTTATGTGTACTTTTATTAGCGTAAAACTAAAAATATTTAATGACACTAATTTTTGTTGTTGTAGTATCAATAAATTTTTGAGATACCACCTTGTTGAGCAATAATTTAAAATGCTTTTCGTTTAAAATATGGGGTAGGAAAATTTATTAAAAAAAAAATCAAAAGCTGTTTGCAATCGGATGCTTTGCTTATCAAATACGTATGTCATACACACGTACATCAAATGTTATTGTAATTATCGCCGCTTCGCGCTGCTGTACAAGGATATTAGCTAATTTCGATATGCCATAAATATATTATTTACAATCAATTAATAACCGTTATATTTACCCTGATATTGCTGCAAAATTCTGCCGCTACAAAAACAACCTTGATATTGCCTTATCAGAGTATTTCACGAGTATATACACATACACATGTATGTATGTAAGTATGTATGTACATTTTTGTAGAAAACAGTATATTTTATCAAATAATTATAAGCTTTTGTTAAGTACATTATTAAACATATTTATTTAATTAGGTAACTTTTATGAATTTAACATACAATTATTAAATACAATATAATATAATAATCGGCTTTATTGGCGATTTTGGGATTTTATAGTAAAAATTCTAATCTTACTATACATAAAAACAATTTCTTTTAAGTAAACACATAGACTTCTCGTACTTGAAGCAATTTATTAATTGTATATACAAATTATATTACAGATGATTACCATTTCATATGGTATATCCTTTCAGGAATATATTTTAACTTTAACTTGTGTATTACAGTTTATGTTACCGTTGATGCAATTGCAAAAATACTGAAGTCATTCGAATGTATTTGCTTATGTGAATTTGTATGTACATAAATAATGTTACCATTGAACGCAATCAAGGTCAATAAGCAATCCGGTATTTTTAAGCTACAAGTGCAAGCTTAATCATTCATAGTTTTGCCTTTTAAACATTAATAATATCGAACATGGAGAGGTGTTTGTAAATGCTATTTATTAACTTGCATTATTTACGTTCAAAGTAAACAGGACTTTTCAAAAGTATCAAAACTTCACGGATTTTTATTATTTTATGAACTAATATAAAGTTTCTGTGTTTTTTCTTTAAAAAAATAGGGAATCTCAAAATGAATCATCGTCTAAAACTTTTATTTATGATAAAAAATCAAATAAGAATATATTTAAAGAGTATAAAATATAAACAAAATTTATTTTCATAGCAAAAAATAACATAGCAATTAAGTCAAAATCATAAGAAAGAACTTCGAAGAGAAATTCGCTGGGTTATAAAATAATTATGACTGTATGAGTTGATAGCATACTTGAATACAGAACCTGTTATTAAATTATAAACTAAAATCGTTGTACGTACATATGTATATCTGTTTGTTAGTCTTTGCTTTAACCCACAGTTATTGTGTGACTTTAGGGTCGAGTAAAATTACAAAAAAATAAGTAAAAAATCCGGTTTCGATATAAAAAATTATAAGAAAATTTATTAAATAATAAAACAAATATTATATAATACCAGTGCATAAGCATGTAGAATGATTAAAAGGCGACTTAAAAACTTTCAATGTACGACAAAGCTACCGCTGAAAACCGCGCTTAAACCCACTCCCAATTATGGCTAATCTAAGTCTTAAACTTAGTAGATTATATAATTTTTTAATAAAAAATACTTTTCTTTATAATTCACTTGTGCCATTTACAGCATTATCTGGGCTGTGGGGCGTGTGCTTGCCTAAGATTGTGGCATTTGCTGTGTCGATCGTTGGCGAGTGAATGTAAAAATGAACGGCTCCAAGCGCCCAACTGGCTTGCAAGTCAATGAACGAAACCAAATTCCATGCACACACACACACACATACATATTTATCTGCTTGGATATGCTGTAATTATAATGATTTAAAACA